GGGTACAATTTCAATCTGACGGCATGTTGACATCTTGTGTCTGCTGGGTGTTTAAGGCCATTTCGATCATCATACAGTAAACATCCGTCATCTTCTCATCAGTGACATGCATCTAAACCAGCGGTGCCCATACTCGGTCCTGGAGGGTTGGTGTCCTGTAAAGTTTAGTTTCAATCCCAATCAGATGCACCTGGGCTTGCTGATCAATCTCATTCTAGGCTTTCTAGAAACATCTGTGCAGGTGTGTTGAGGCCAGTTGGAGCTCAAATCTGCCGGATACGGCCCTCCAGGACTGTGTTTGGGCATCTCTGATCTAAACAGTCTCTGGGTGTAAAGATTTTGAACATCTTCTTGGACACTGTTAATGCTTCCAAACAGTTTGCTGCAATTATAAATCGCCCATGTCTTCAGGTAGTTCACTATGAGACGATTTACCTTCTATGTGTGATTTGACTGGACAGGAATCACAGGACTGATTTGTCTAATCCCCATAGACAAGACAAAATATAGTAGTGACTGCAGGATGAAGGACAGTAGTGAGAGTAAAAGTACCAACACAGCACTAAACATGTGCTCAAGGGAGAGTAAAAGTACACCACTGTTCAAAAACGCAAATAATTAATAATTAACCTGATTTCACAACACAATACAATATCATCAATACAACTGTGTTTAAATTAATTTAAATAACTTAATCTGGTTAGTAATTTATTTTTTTTTGACTCGAGACTGCCTAAAGTCCCTACAAATCTCAACACACAGTAGAAATGAAACTCTTCATTCTTTAAATTTGTGTCAACCTTGACAGACTTAGCTTTATTAAAAATAGGCTGTTTACCTAAAACTAAAAATATAAAACGTTTAAAAAATAATGACGCCATATGAAGAGTTCAGATGCAGAAACCTCTAAAGGCCATTGACAATGAGCGTTTCCTTCAGCCTCCTGTGTTCATGTTCAGTTATTTAACTTTCAAGAGTTCACTCTTAGCTGATGATTGATTACAAAGCTTGTTTGGCATGCCGTCCCGGGAGAGAGCCCTGAGCTCATACGATCCTTGAGCACGGGGCTCCCTCCCGCTTGCAGGGCGAGATCTGGAGAACTCCCCTGCTGTAGTAGTAGGTAATGAACAGATAGTGATTGCTCTTAAGAGAGAACTACTTACTAGGAGCATGTCTATGGTGCTGATTTGTTTTAGTCAAATAACTCAAATGGCATGTTTTTTGGTTAGTAGGAGGAAACCAGGGGACCCGGGAGAAACCCACGTGAGCACGAGGAGAACGTGTAAACTCCGCACAGAAACATCGGCTGGCTTGGTAAGGACTAAAACCAGTGACTTTCTTGCTTTGAGGAAACAGTGGTAACCACTGGGCCACCGTGCCACCCATCTAGGAAAGGTGGAGGTTAGGGGGGGAGGGGGGGTGATTCTTTAAAACGAAGATGGCTGTTATATGGAACTGAGGGTATTTACAGTGGCTTAGGAATCGTCTGATTGGAGAATCCTGAACTGAATAATGCAGCACCGGCTGTGATCAATCATAACCACGTGATCCTCTTGAAATTAGTCTATAAATAAACTTCAATTAAAGGCAATAAAAAGCCCTCATTCGTCACTATAAAAATACAATTATTAAACACACAGGAATCTGAGATCAATACTGATTTTAGAAGAGGATCTCAAATGGCATTTTTCAAATGGTTTTTGCATCTGAACTCTTCATATTTATGTAGTGTCGTTAGTTTCTTACAATAAGAATGAGCAATAATCACGATAAATCTGACATCCTTTAGTTACAAATAAAATTATCCTGCAAAATATAGCCAACTGTAACGTATTCAGTGCTGAAGATGTGAAACAGGCGCTCTCCTCTAGTCATGACTGTGCATTATTTCAGCACGCGGCTGTTTTCTTGTAATGTTTGTTTACTGTCCTTTGATTCATTTGAGGGGGTTTTGCGTAAGAGCCTGAGGTTATCTCTCTTATCCATTACCCTCATGCAGAATCCCTTTATTTGTGCTGCTGACCACCCTCAATCAGACCTGTGCTGCGTAAATCATACGTAGGCTACTAATAAAGCATATCAATTTCAACATATCCATCTGTTTTCAACTCAAGATTTCAGAAAGTCTGATATGAATGCTTTGAGTGCTGAGAATTGATTTTGTGCTCATTGTCGTCAAACGACTTGATTAAAGAAATCAAACCCCAATTGCAGACGTACATTGCGGAGACGTCTATACTGTATGATGTTTTTGTTTACATCTGGAAGACGTATTTATATTATCTTCTAGGCATTAACCACACGTCACTTGAAAAACTTTAAATGTAATATTAGTTTTGATGTTTAAAACTCGGAATGTTCTATTAAAAGGTGTTTATCAGACCACAGCAGATTTACAACACAGTTTTACCACACCAATAATATGTCTTGCATATAGGCATTACATACACTGTAAAAAACATGTGATTTTACAGGTAATTGTCTGTATTTTTTACAGGATTTTTTATTATACAGTTCACAGATATTTTCTAAAATTAAAAAATTCTAACATTAAATTTACAGTTATTGCTAGTATTATGTTATTTTTCAGTTTTTTTTTAAAGAAATATTCTGTATTTTCAGAGAGTAACACGCAGTTTTACATTAATATTTACAGATTATTCCTGTAAAAATAGGGAAACAAAGTCAAATTATTTTTAATATTATTGAAGATAGTAATCATATGAGGATTAAAGTGAAGGTAATAATGTCAAATAATAGCTTA